TAGTTATTTAATCAGGTATTCAGAATTCTGTTCTCAAAATAATTAGTAGAGTTGACCCCATGTATTATACATGTCACTGATCTACTTTAAAACTGCCAAGCAAAAGTAGAAATTATACCTTTTTTGACGACTATATTAATAATGCTATAATAAAATATCTACAAAAAATATTTATAACGATCATTACTCGATTTTGTTACTTTAAGATTATGTAATAACACGTATTCATTAATACGTATAATTTATTTGATTCTACGCATCCATAATACACGGGTATTATATGTAAATACTTTTTAGAAAACATTCAGATGCGTATAATAATTTTATTCGTAAACTTGTTAAAGAAACATTAACGAGCCTAGAACACATCGTCAATATCAACATAGACATTTTCATTAGTCATTTGTCGTTGCTAATGATTTTTAGTGACCACCTGCCGTCTTTTTTACTTAATAAACAACATTTAATATGAGCCTAATGACTACCGAGAAGGTTATTATCATAATATATACATTATACAAGCCTACAATTTATTTATCGGGTACAGGCAGTTAAAAAGATAATTTTATTTCTATAATACGATCTGCAATGTTTATTCGAAAATAAAAAACAAATATAATTTCTAATTAGTTTACCTAGCAGCACTACACTAACAGCTATATAAGTTGATACAATATTATAATAATTCTACTTTTAGTTTAATAGGTATTCACATAGCAGATGGTAGTATATTATATAGATTATTAATCAAATTTAATCCCTGGAATTAGATTTTCATAGTAATTCAAGTATATACATTATTTATTAATACTAGATACTTTAATGGTATAGAAACACTAAAATATTACGCATACCTATGGGTATTATAAGTTATTGGTAAATGGTAATGAGAATAACAGCGTATTCTGTGTAAGCGCATTTTATATAACAACAAAAAATACTAGGTATATAGTAATTATCATACAGAATAGTACATTACATTAAAATCAAATTTACTAGGTAAGATATTATAAAATATAACACCGAACTCAAACTATAGGCCGTGTAATAAAAATTAATCAATAAAACACGACAAAGAGATAATTCGATATTATACACAGCCGATAGGTACAACGGGCACCTTCGTCAAGCTGTTATAATATGATATAGCCAAGCAGGTTAAATAGGAGCTGAGTGAGATTTAAATTCATAATTCGATAAGGTTATTATCATTATACAGGCATACTTAGACGGCAAGAAAACTTTGGCTACCCAAAAATCATTTATGCTTTAAAAAAAAAAAATTGATTTTTATTTTTTGTTTCTTACAATAGTTAGGTACAACTAGAATAAAATTTAAAAAAATATCATATTTGATTCAAGAATAAATTAAAACGTGAAAATGAGTAATGAGCTTACTTAAACGATAGTGATATTAAAAAAAAAAAATGAAATTCTAAATAAATTGGTTTTTGGTAACATTGTTGTTATTATCTAGATCGTTCCTAAAACAATTTAAATAAATAATTGTAATAATATGAGTATCAAGTTATTAACTTTTTTTTTCAATATTAAGTAACTAATCAAAGCAATACAATAACTTTTTATTTTATTATAATAGTAACTGTCAACAGACTTGTTTTTTAAATTTAATCTACTTATACATTTATGATGATTATAGAATTAAGATTATTGTAAGAACAATTTACACACAGTAGTAAACATTCGGGATCCTCTTTTGGTCATAAAAACTAATTCGACTTAAAAGTAAAAAATTTCAATTTTATCAGTTTAGTTTTAAAGCGATTATTAAAAATAATAATATAAGATAAAAGTGATACAATACTGCCAACTACGATTATTTATCAATTCGGCCTAGATTACTGTAAACGGTAAATTAAGCTAGTATTTTCAAAATGTATGTCTAATGAATATTATAATTAATAATTATATATAATTTAATATAAGACCATTTTATAAATATTAAATATATTAAGCATGTAATAAATTATTCTAATTAATAATAATAATTATAATCATTTCTAGTAATATAATTATTTTATCTTATTCTTTGACACTCTCGTGTCGTTATTCTATATTTTTTTTTTTTTTTAATTATTCGGCAATTGAGAAATTAATAAAATGCATAATTTTAATTTTTAATCATTGAATGCAACATATACTCGTATGTATAATTAATTTTATATGATTTTATATTAATTATATAAATTATACATAAAATGGATCAAATAAATTAGAAATATATTAAGCTCAAAGTCAAGTAGTTAGTTGAAATACTCGTCTGCTAATTAAAAACTAATATTTAAATTAAATATGAATATTTAATAAGATACATTTTTAATATTCAAAAGCGTATACTATTTTACTTATTATATTGTAGGTAACTATATGTATAACAAGTTAATATATTTTTATGATGTATGAGATATAATGTGTAATGACTATTGAGTAACAAGTATTAACTGATGAATAATAATTATGAAATTGATCATGAAGCATTTTGTTCGTTTTGTTCCAACATATACGTAATAATGTTTTTTTATGAATATTTTTGTACTAGTAACTACATATCAATACCTGGTAAAGTCTACATTATTATTTTCAACTCTGTAAAGCGAGAAAAAATAGTATTAAAACCCCTGTTTTGGTCTTATAGATTTTAAACATAATAAATATTTAGGTCATGAATGTTTTTTATTTGATTAACAATTCGCCGCATAATAATATAAGGCCATCAGTATGTTTTTTCCTGCTGACAAGGAAACCATGACCCATCACAGGTGGCTTAAAAAATATTGAGGGCTTTTTTTCTTTTATAAAACGTAAAGAAAAAAATTACATTAATATTTCAGGGTGTAGGTCAAACAAAAAAATGGTAAATGGTAAATAGTAAAAATGATATTATAAAATAACTGGCAGTGTTGTAATTAAAATTTGAACGAAATAATCTGTTAAATAAAACTATTACTATTATTGTATCTACTATCTAGCATATCATCGAATATATTACGTGTCCATAGGTAATAAGTACGCCTTATAAGCATAAACGATGCGCATACATCTGTGTTCACTTAAATAGTTAAATAATCGTTGGAAGTACGATTTTGTTCTTTGTTTAGTCACTTGTTGATTGTATTGTGAGAACACCTCAATTATTAATGTATTTTTATTCGTGTGCTATATACTCGTACATAAACATCAGTGATGTGACTGTGTGAGACTATCTGTGTGCGTTCGTATATAATAGCTTCGAATAACAATATTCAAGATATAAACAATTTATACGGCAATTTAGGCCCTGGTTTGCACTGCCATTAGTTTTCTATTCATAACTTCAACACGTTTCAATAAATCTACCACGCTGTGACGGTGAGGGATTATATAGTGATTAATCGAGAAGCTACAGAAGTTGAAAAAAAATATTATATGCGCACTATTGTAGCTCTTCAGCTGTCATAGCTCGGAGCTAAACGATGCGATTATTGATAACCAGGGGCACGTACATAATACACTATTTAAACGCACACATTGTCAAATCGAATTCAATAACCATAAGTATATATGCGACATTTATAAATTGTTATACAATTTCAAGCGAACGGTATTGGTAACAAATCGCTGGTATAGATTGCAGGCTGTAGCATCACAACAGACAATATTATGATATAAGAATTTCGCTCTTTCTGTGCAGGCAGTATATGGGCTCTGATATACTATAATAATAATAATATATATAAACTATATATATTACATACAATGTAGTATAGTATAACCAAAACATCAAAACGTTCCAAACTATTGTCCCTACGCATCCAACCCGCGTTTAAATCCCTAAACCATCGCTGCGAGCAACCGTTGTCACTACAATTTTTACGTATAAACATAAGTTTACTGTTCCTTCTATATTTCTCTACAGCCGTTGATACGTAATATTAATTATTATATAAAGATAAACTAAAACTTCTAATAATATATTTATAATTCATAAATTAATACATATGAGTAGCGCGTGTAGAAAATTTATCTATCCTGATTAAAACTGCGCTAACTATGTAAAATCTAAAAAACCTCACTATTGTATTATAGCCAGTGCCACAGTATAAATACAACGCGCATGTATATTAAACATATTTACATATTATATACGTTATAATACGTGGCGACAACGGGCAAAAAGCAAACAACTTTATGGGAAAAAATCGTCTAAACGTCCGACGATTATCGTGTTACACTATCATACGGCCGGACCGGAACAACATGTGATATATTATATATATGCGGTTTGGATAGCGGAAGTACATCAAACGCAAAAGTATAACTCTTCCGCCGCCAAACCCGTGTTCCATGTACATACAGTATACGCGTGATAAAATCATATTATGCATAAAAGAGAAGGGATTGAACAATTAGTCTATAGACCGGGTTGGAAAAATAACGAAGAAAAATAAAATATAAAATATGTGAAAAAAGTGTAAAGCACGGTGATAACCGTCGACTGGAGGGCGGGTATGTGCGACTGACGAGGGAGAGACGGCGGCGATAAGGGGATGGTTTCGCGTATCGACCGCGCGCGCACCCCTAACCAGTCGCGGGGCGGTGGTGTTTCCCCGGCGCGTCGGCTTGCCTCGCTACCGCCACCGCCGCCGCGTGTCCCTGTCAATCGCGCTCACTTCACCCTACCACCACTGCTACTGCCACCGCCGCCTCCTTCACCCAAAGCACACTGCAGGGGAGAGCTCCGCCACCGTTACACGGGGGTGGGTGGCTGGCCACTATATCGTGGCCGGCTGGTGTAGCAGTGGCGACGAAGGGATCCTCGAAATCGGGTATAATATGTTTCCCGCCCTGCGGCGTCACAGGGGCGGGTGTTCGGACGGGCGAGCGGGGAACACACGGACGGACTCTTCCCCTCCGCGACGTGAAAAAGGGGTGGCGGCGACGGCAGGGACCCCGTCGGATAAAACAACGCCGCCGGCAAGCAGTTGTCGTGTGCGCTCACGCCGATTTAGTCGTTCCCAACGCGAAACACCGAGCGCGCCGTCCGAAAGTTGCACACACAACGTTCGTCCAATAAATAAATATTGTAAATTATTATTGTAAACGTGCGCACAGACTTTATTCAGATAAAAAACATCACAACAACAATCGTGCAGTAGTCGTCGCGAGTGCGTTAATTTCGACTCGTACGTACAAAAACGAATTATTCCGCGGTATTTATTATAATATTATATAATACGTTATTATTATTTATATTTTATTTTCAACCGATTCTAGTCCCTTGTGATCCCCGTACGAATTAACACTATAGTACAATACTTTTATTGTTGTTGCTGATGTTATTGTTATTGTAAACAAAAGAGTTTTTACATCGACCGGTATCCGTTTTAACGTAATCGTCAAGACGAAATTACCGCACACAATATCTTTGAAATATCGTGGTCACGACAAGCGCATTTTTAAATAATATCCGTTTTGCGGCGCGCGCGCGTACGTACTCCATCGCCAGTCCCACACCACTGCGGTGATACGGATAAACACTGTTGTTTTCCAGTCAATTTCTCAGCGTCACTCCGTTTCCTTTTGATGAGTCAAGGTGAGTGAAGAAAACACAATAATAATAATAATCATAATCATAATAATAACAACACCTGTTCGACGTCGTACACGGTGGGGGAGTCGTGTGTGTAGTCACTGCTCGCCGGCCGGCCGGTCGTAGTTCCTCCCCCCCTTACCCGAGCGTCGTGACTCCTCCGCCGCCACCGCAGCCGCGACGCATTCTTCAAAACAGCGTTCTCCTCCGGACTTGAAACAAAAGAACGGATAGGGACCGAGTGTCAACGACCCACGGTCCTCGGACGTAATTTTTATTTATTTTTTTTCTACGATCCGAGTTTTTATTTGCTTATATTATATTATGTTATGTCTGTGTACACACAGACTCACATATGTTATGTGATATTTTCGCTCCGTATGTGTATATTACGCGTGTGGTATCCGCCGGGATTTATTATCAGACCGGAATTAATAAATTGTTATTAATTAATCATAAGGTCATTTTAATGACATCGTTTATGAAATATGAATTCAAAAATAATAACTGCAGTATAATATTATAATATTATTATGATATGCATTTTATGTATTTCGGTAACACACTACAGAAATCAAATTCGAATTACACAAAATTATACAAGTGGTTGTCTAAAAATATGCTATAATATTCATTAACATGAAATACAATAATACGTATTATTATATAATTATATCTCCCGCAAACATGACTGTACAATTATAACTTATAAAAAAAAACATAGATTTCGAGATAAGTCTGTTTATATTGTTGTTTTCCTAAAAGTGGCAATCGTTATTTGATGTGAACATTGTAAACTAAAAAGTTGCAATTAATTATTAATATGATGATGTCAAAGAACAATTTAATTACTATTTTCGTAGACAAATTTCATTAAATGTTATACGATCACAATGCACAAATAATTAAACACAAAATTTCATAATGGTGATTTTTTTTTATTAGATGTTTACAATTATATTATTATTATGATAAGACATAATATTTTTCAATTCATGTATATTGTGTAATCTGTGACATTAAAAAAAAAATTTGTGTGGATTTCAAGTATCTACTCGGTCTATTTACGCTAGCCTTCGTGACCCCGTCACCTATGTACCTACTATATTTTAATCTTTATAATTGTTTTTAAAATATATGATGATAAAAACGATTTTTTTTTTTATTTAATGTATTTTAGTCGAATTTTTGAATTCCTTATTTCTTTACATTAAGACGATAACAAAAATATCGATAAAGGAATAAAATACACTAATTTTATTATATTAATTATAATAATTAAACCGCGTGCTTGAAATTTTATGAATCACTCAAAAAGTAAATAGCAATCCAGAAAAAAATATTGTAAATTATACAATTTTTCTTCTTCTATGGATAAAATAGTGTTGCTACTTTTTCAAACACAAAAAAAAATGATTACTTTTTTATCGTTTTATTTATTAAGGTATTTTCAGTTGGTAATTTATAATTTTTTTATATTTGATGTATATTATGCGACTCTCAACGAGGCGTCAACCAGTAGGTCTCGGCGACTGACCGCTCGTTTGTATATTACCGTAATGATTTGCCATTTTCGTGATAAATGATTCATGCGTCTACGCCGTAAATGAAAGTCTCATAAAGCTACAACTTGTGTACAGTGTACACTCATCGTAATATCGTACCAATATATATTATAATCGCGTGACTTCACGATCAAGTCGGCTACACCATTAGTCCCGTCTAAATATACATGATTATGCACGCAGTGTGTACAGGCTAGGCAGTGAGTGTTTCAGGTGTATACAGCGTGCCCCAATTAGTGACAAATATAATACTATAATTCACGACCGGTCTAATGCTCTACGTGCAGTATAAATAAAATACAAATTAATGATCGGATCGAAATACCGCAGAACATTTAATGGTATTATCGTGATTCAAATATGTGTAGGTATAACATTGAGTTATTAATACACAATAATATTAATTTATTGGAATATGGCATATTATGTCAGCATCCCACAGAAGAAACGACGATATTATTTAGAGGTGTCTAGAGACGAATCGTCTAGTCGTGCTCGCGAAACATTGCCGACGGACACGTATAAAAGTACAATACATGCGCTCACGTACTTAATAATAAAATGACAATACATAATATAGCTTTGTGATTTATTACCAATGATTTAATATTATGCTTTAATAGTAATGATTATCGCTTTTATTATCATTATTAAATATTATTATTATGTGTCCGACGTCTGTCATTGTTTCACGACACTACTCGTTCGTCAATCGGTGGGAACAGCGAAAAAAAATAAACAAATAATCCGTTTCGCGTTTCGTTCGTGGATTTTTTTTTTTTTTTTTGTCGTCTTACCTGTTCAAAAAACGGAATGGAGAAAAAACAATGTCTCAGACGCCGAGAAACGTCCCAGATGACGTACGACATTAAACGACGATAATACGACGACGACGGTTGTGTTGATAGTCCCTCGTTTTTTTATACTCCCGTTGATCGATGGCCGCCGGTCGAGGCATTTTTTATACCTATCAAGGTACTTACATATCAGTGGCACTGATTCCTATATATGTTCATGTATTGTATAGTCGTCATATATAAGTTATAGGTGGGTGGTGGTCGGTTGTTATCTACTCTGAACCTACTGCCGGGCATCAACTATATTTTTACAGTCACACACTGCTCTGTAATTTAAAGATTAATAATAAACTAATATGAAGGATTGTATATTAAAATATTTTGAATTTTAAGCGATGTTAGTATCTTACAATAATTTTATCTTTGATGTTATTCATTGAGATATAGAATATAGATGATTCAGTACCTATAGTGTTATATGTCTCATTTTTAAGTGTTTAGAACGTAGATATAATTAAATAATAGTTAACATAAATCACTATATGTTTAATGCAAGAAGAATACAACTTAAGTAATAAACATAATTTTTATGTAATACTAATTTAATTTTTGGCAACAAATAACAACAATAATAGTTTTTTTTAGATGATTTAATAAAATAATTAAATTTAGAAAGATCTTGAGGGAGATGTAGTGTGTATTGGAAAAATTAGCGCTGGTGGTTTACAAATGAGTTATTAATAATTGACTTCAGCGTTAATGCTACTATATTATTTCCTACCATGTTATGCCATATGGATACATCATGCATGCGATTTATCTAAATCAATTGACTCACCCTGTAAAGAGACAACAGAAACTGCTTTCGCTTTTCCGTCATCGTTTTGTATATCTCGAGAGCAGAACGATTTGTCTCCCGCGAACAATGGAGAACAAGTTCCCCAGCCTCATTAGTAGCTCATCGCTGCCGGACGGATGGACAAAAGAAAGAAGAGATAGTGAAAACCACACGTGTGGGGTAGCACAATTGTGTACAAAATAAAAAAGAATGCTACAAAGTTTTTCGTCAAAATTCATAGTTTCCCCCAATCCCTCCCAGCTTCATGACAGGCGGTTGATTTTTTTTCTTTTTTTATTTACTCGTTGAAAATTTAATGAATTTATAGTCTCATCAACCAATCGACATCTTTCTTTTTAAACTGCAATACGTATACATATATTATATATTTTAAAGTGACTGCTATGCGTAATAACAACCCGGGAAAAAAAACTAAGCGATACGGAAATATATTTAACAAGACGTTCTGGGATTATTTTTATTCAAAATGTCTCAACAACTCCCTAGACTATTTTCTTAAAGTTACGCGCGTGTGTATTTATACGACCAAATCAAATATTGCTCGAACGCCGCATGCGGCATGCGTTGTCCCTTTGAAACCGAATGTCATAGGATCCGTGTCAATAAAAAGAAAACCGCAATGAAAAAAATAAATAAAACATGATATCAGTAAGCAAAATTGTTTACATGCAATGTAATAATAATATTGTATTGCTGCACGTAAACGGATAAAAAAAACGATGGCGATAAACAACATATAAATAAATGAAACCGTAAATCATATTATTATATCTCTATTATATTATAGTACCCACTTGGAACTTAATAGTATTTTCCTATTGTACGCGGCCATTATAATACGAATGAAGGTCTTGATTCATATACACATTATGTGTCGCACGTACTATGTACCTTCATGTAAACGACGGTAAAATAATAATCATTTATTCAAAAAATTTACTCCCAACACCCAAGAATCAAGATGAACTGTTTCAAAATAAGTTAACGTCAAATTTTCATATTTTGTTTACATTAAATCATTTTATTGTTTTTATTCATAATTTTGTTTTCGGCATAAATAATTTTATGCTGTCAAATGTTCATGATAAATACGAAGTGGTTATTGAAATGTGCGAAATGAACGTTGACACGAAAAATGAATATAATTTTAGTCATTATTAGATTGAATTTTTGTAATCCAAATCCAGATTTATATATTTTTTGCTTATAGTATTTGTAATTGTAAGTTTAATAAAACTAAAAATTGTAGACGATTCGTTAAACGTGAAGTCGAACTAGAAAAAGTTTTGTTTTTGAATAATTGAGAATAATTTGGTGATTAGGTTTGTAGGTTTTAAATTAAAAAAAAAAAATAGGCACTACAACATAATTTTAATTTTGAGATCTACCTTTACATATATTTTTTGTCATTTACCAATGAAATAAAATTACAAAATATTAAAGCATATTTTCTGTCGTTCTTGAGTTATTTTTACGTAAAAAATACATTTTTATCAATTTTAAGAGAATATATTAAGTAGAATATTTTGTATCTTTTTTTAATGAATATTATCATACCTAATATTTAAAGTACTGTTAAACTTAACAATCCAAATTATAAGTTTACAAAAAAAAAAAAAAAAATGGATACATTACACTATTATAGTATTATTATTTATATGTTTAACAAAATAAATAAATTATAAACTTTATGTTCCTCGTTTTTCAATAGTAATATATTTAATCTCCGTTCCTTTGTTCACTGGAACAACCGTGTAATTATTTCAAAACAAACTATGTATA